CACAGCATGGAATAGATACGCTGAGATTTCCAATATAATTTAGCTTATGTATAGGACGATGCAAAAAGTATAGAAACAAGAACAGTTACCGTACTCCAGGGAAAATAAGAAGCTTCATCATGGGTAGCAGTTGAGCCAAGAGTGAAAAAACTGAGTAATGATATTTTAATGAGAATATAAATACTGATCATCGAAAATGTGTGATATGACATGTCCCAGAGATTCCATGAGGTTCAGAATTGCTAGTTTGTCAAACAAAAACTATGGTCACTGTATGAGGAAGAGTCAGTACATGCACCTACAAATGTAGGCAGTTCTAGATCAGGAGTTTTGTAATAGAGTTTTGAGACTCCTAGAATAATAAAGAGCTTATTGAAGAATTTTGGGCTGAAAAAAAAATGATCACAATGGCATGTGATAGTTTTCTAATGAAAGAGCATCACTTGACAGATCAAAGGCAGGACCATTGATTCCATCCCAGATGGATTATGAGAAACCAGACTAATAGCCATGTGGAAACTGAAAGTCTTGTTAGTCATAACATTCCCATAAAGCTTCACCATGTTTCATACTACTTTCAAGTTGGTTTTAGTAACAGAGCCATAGCTTCCACTTCCATTTAACCATTGAAAACAGACTAAACATGGCTGGGGAGATAGCTCAGTCACTGAAGTAATTATACAACAATGGGGACCAGAGTTCAGATCCCTAGTACCCACATAAAAAAGTCAAGCATGGCAATACACACCTAGAGCCCCAGCACAGGGGAGCCATAGAGACAGGAAGATCTCTTTGGCTTGCTAGACAGGTAGTCTAGTCTTATTGGTAAACTTAAATTTCAATAAGAAACCTTACCTCAACAAAGAAAATAAAGTGAGATCTTTAATTAGTATTATAGAACTGGAGCTTAATGCTCAAAGTATCAAATCTACCATATTGTTAAAAAGGTATACCATCTAAGAATACAGGGTGTGAAAGAGTTAAGAACTTCATATTTGAACAGTTTCTTGGGGTTACTGTCTTAAATTAGGTTTCCTATTCTCATAAAACTAGGTTAGAAAATAATTTTCCTTTATGTGGATTAGAGTTTTATTAGCTTTAGTGCCCACCTTCCCTTTCCCCAGGTCCATATTCCCATGTCTCTTCCTCCACAGGAGGCTAAGATGTCCCATCCAAACCCATTAAATGGCTGACAAATCATATTATTCTTTCCAGCAACATCTAAAGGGAACCAAAAAAAAAACAGTATTCTTTGATAACCTGTGAATGGGGCTACTTTTGTTATCATCACAACTCAGAAGAGCCATCTAATCACTGAACTTCCTCTGGAGTCTGGTTCCAATTATAAGTAACAGCCTGAACAAAGATCTCAAGATGAGAGACAGACAGCCTATTGAAGAGCAAAATTGGTAGTTGGAGATGAAACTGGAGAGGGAACAAGAGGCCACTTTGATTCAGAGTAGATTAGCTAGTAGAGAGTTTGGGTTTAGCCTTAGAAGAGTGGTGATCGATCAAACACATTTATATATACAGTGTGTTCCATTCTGTCATGCATGCATGCTCTTGTGTATACTAGAGAAACAAAAAAGAGAATGAGTCTGGGAAGTTTTGAATTATTGAATAAAGGAAGGCAATAAAAGGCAAGCCAAAATGCTAAGAGTACTGTGTATTACCTAGGAGGAGAAAGTGTTGCCCCTTTCCAAAGAGCGTTTGTTACTTATTGAGGAAGATCAAAAGCCTGGTAAAGGAACTTCACTTCTAGAGGCTCATTTTAAAATAAAAGAATTTTTCTTTATGTTATAATTTCTTGAAAATGCAAGGTCAAGTATCAATATGTAACTTAATAATTAAATGGTTATCTTCATTTTCCCTGATTCTTTGGATAACATGGGTGTTTTTTATACAATGACACTTAAGGGTTGAACATTGAGTTTCACAAGCCACTGTTTCTGCTATAGTACTAATTCCATGAAATCTAAAGATGTTTGCATTCCAATTTAGATAAAATGTTAATTTGATATAAGGATTTTTTCAGCATTTTATAGTAATAGCGTACCTTGTTAAGTTGTGGTGAATGACTCCACCAATAAGGAAGTGACTGTGAACTGGAATGTTAGTGCCCTTCTCAGTATTTTCGTCTTGAAAACAGATCCTTTCTGCATGTCCTATTACAGTCCCAGAGAAGGCAACTAGATTAACTCCCTCACACCATACCTCTTATGCTCTAGTGCAGAGATTCAGTTCCAGCCAGTCTTTGCTTTCTTCCCTTCTTGGCCTTCTGATTAGAGAGATTCCACTATGCCTACCTCATCAGCTAAACATTTGTTTTAATTCCTAACACAAGTTTTACTTGTAGGTAAAATCGGCCAGTGCTCTATCTGAAAATGCAGAGGTTGTTAACTGACTTCAGAGCACACAAAGGGAAGGCAAGGAGTAGTGTATGTATGTATGAAACCCAAATGTAGTAAAAAGCCTTTATGAAGATAAAGAATAATTGGATTGCCCTAAATCTCATCTTTCAGTGTTATAGAAGAAGAAATTGGTACCACTTTTCCAAAGGGCATTATTTAGTAAGGTAGATCAAGAACCTACTGGAGTAACTTTTAAGAAAGAAATGGAGAGTGTACATTTTTGCTTAGTATAATATAAAAACAACAATATGCTGCCTCATTAAGACTGCAACAACCTTATCAATTATTTTTAAATCTACATGCAGAGATACCAGAATGAATAAAGTGTGATTGGATATCCATGCACCATGCTGGTATACTTTCATAATATGATTTTTTAAAAGTTTATTAACAGAGTTTGAGTAGGTGTTGAAAAACCTGCTACCACCTTTCCTAGCATCCCAACATTTCTCTAATTCATCTTAGTATTTTAAGATGTAAGTGAAAACATTTAGCTGTTACATTATTTCTGATAAGTAGGTTTATCCATTCTGATAATTTATGAGGAAATATTTTGTAGAGTTAAAAGGTTATCAGAAAGGTTGAGTTGGGGGAAGAACAGAGAAGGGGAGCAGGGAAAGAGATACCTTAGTAGATGGAACATTTATGGGCTTAACTAGAAATCTGACACTAGGGAAATCTCCAGGAATCCACAAGTATGACCCCAACTAGGAATCTAAGCAATAGTGGAGAAGCTACCTTAAATGCCCTTCGCCTATAATGACATTGATGACTACCTTAAATGCCATCATAGATGCTTCACCTGATAGCTGATGGAAGCAGAAGCAGAGATTCACAGATAAGCACTGAGCAGTAATCCGGTTGTAGAGAGGGAGGAGTGATGAGCAAAGGGGTCAAGACCATGCTGGGGAAACCCACAGAAACAGCTGACCTCAACAAGGGGGAGCTCATGATCTGAATCTGACGGCTGGGGAACCAGCATAAGACCAAACCAGGCCTCCTGCATGTGGGTGTCAGCTGGGGGGCCTTGACAGTCTATGGGGCCTCTGGCAGTGGAACCAGTATTTATCCCTAGTGCATGAATGGATTTTGGGAGCCCATTCCCTATGGAGGGTTACTCTCTCAGCCTAGTTACAAGGGGGAGGGCCTAAATCCCGCTCCAAATGATGTGACAGACTTTGATGATCTCTCATGGAAGGCCTCACCTTCCCTGCGGAGTGGATGGAGGATGAGGGCATGGGAGGATGGGAGGGAGAAGGAACTGGGATTGGTATGTAAAATAAGATTGTTTTAATTTAAATAAAAATTAATTTTAAAAAACTAGGAAAATAGTGGAGGGATATTAAGACTTTTTGTTATCAATTAACCTGAAAAGGTACACTTTATAAGTATTAATTCATCCTCAGTAACTGATGAAGAAGGTACTGGTGTTAGAAAGCTGAGACAGATATATTAAAGTAGTTACATGATGGAACTGAAATTTGAACATCAGTCTTCCATTTCTTCATCAGCATTTTAACAGCTCTCCAAAAGTAGCATAACTTTATCAGAAAAGTAACAATTCTAGTAGTGCCAGCCATCT